TAATGGGCATTTTTAATCAGTTAATGTATTTACACTTCCTACGTTGGTTCAAGAATGCACAAAATGCGTATTGGCTTATAAGTGACCGTCATAATTCCCCTACTTAAATGAATTCTACATTTCTGATTCGAGTCAAGATTTAGATAAATAGATGCCTTTTCAGAAACACATTCATCAGCCTGAAATCAATCTGGAAATCTTCGTCACTCAGCCAGCATCAACAACAAAATTCGGATTTTCAATACAAACGTCAAGTCAGTCAGTTATTCTATACGGATCAGAAACTAGGCGGGCGGGTCACAAAGAATATTTCCGAAAGGCTGCAGACCTTTATTAACAACTGTCTTCGCTCAATACCGAAGATCAGATGGCCGGAAAGAATCACCAACAAGGAATTATGGGAACAAACAAAGCAAGAACCAATCGCCCAACAAATATGCAGGAGAAAGTGGAGATGGATCGGACACTCACTGAGGAGACCGCTGGGTGACATCGCGCGTCAGGCCATCGCTCGAGTGGAACCCGAAAGGGAAGCGGCGTGTGGGACGTCAGTGCAAGAGTGACATGGAGGAGATCGTGTGAAGAGGAGTTGAAAGAATATGGATTAACATGGATGCAGGCGAAAAGTATAGCAGAAGACAGAAGCAAATGGAGACGTGCAGTTGAAGCCCTATGTTCCACTAGGAACCCAAGGGAGCAATAATAACAATAATAATTTCAGAATCAGTTTGTTTATACAAAAGTTGATATTCATTGTGTGAAAGGCATATGAGGAGGATGTAAAATGGAGATAAAGTTTCAATGATGAATAGTACTACATTCATGATAAATCTGTACCTATATGACTGCTTCACTTCGTTTAACCTCTAAGTGTTCTTCAAATTTTCTTCAAAAAATGTATACCAAAAAGTGACATACTTAAGTTAGAAAGATAATTGAAAATTCAGGGGTAGTGTACACTACTCTGCCAGTGATCAAATCCGGGACTTTTAAGTCACGAGGTCAAACTCGTTGAACATTCAGTCACTTGGCACGGAATTCACTATCCTCTGAATTCTAACTTTGTTAACTCGTGGATACACTTCTGATATCATCAGCCCCTTCGGTAAAGATTCATTTCATCTTTTTGACTTGGAGGACCCGGGGGGCTTACAACTTCTTACTACGGTTTCAGAACATCTATCCAGTAGCTACTGATGAGCTGATGACTGAAATTCAGATCATGGAATTTCTGAGGATTCTGGATTGATTTCAGTCGTTAAATGTTTGTCACGAAACAATACATCAATTAGAGAGACCATTTCAACGCTAATCCATCAATCTATACAACTCCTGGCTACAGACACGTTTAACTCAATTTAATTAAACCTGATTGACACTGATAACGACTTGTAAATCTGCTAATAAATTTTTCTTAAAAAGAAATTTTAAATCCGTCAGTTTGAAACTGAAAAAAAAATAACCAAAAAAGAAAATGATGAATTCAATCTTTCATCAACTAAAAGAAAAGAGAAGAATCCATTAGAAAATTAGTCTAGTCAAGCGTCCTGTGTCTATTGAATATTGAATAACCTTGTAAGCTATTTTGTACTTATTTTGAAATTGGAGTCAATGTATCTAAAATTGACTGTTCAGTAATAATAAAAGCTTATTATCCTTACAGTAGATGCTGTAATTAATGCTAAGAAATTTTGGCTGCATAGATTTCTGGCCAAAGTTCAACAATAGCATCCCAAGAGATGCGAACGCACGAGTGTCCCTGAGCCAACCAATCATAGAAGTGAGATATTTTTGCACAAACAGTGACGTATACTTTTAAGAAAATGCATGAAAATACATTAATAAACAGGTTATCTTTTGAGTAGTATACAACTGGTGGATGGTGGCTAGCAGTGGAATCCAGGATGCGCATTTCGTCCTATTTGGGACTCGTCAGCTGGATGTACCTGCATTTCTCAGTGAGTGATGACGTTCCCACCGAAGCTCGAACCCAGTACCCATAGTTCCAAACGCCAAAGCGTTATCCACTAGACCACTTGGGTCACGAGAGCCACCTCTTGTGCGACGGGTCATAATAATTATTGAATTGAATTTTTGATTTTCCCGTCGATTGATTGGACCGAAGTGCTCGGTCTCAGATTGACATGTCGGCTTCTTGTGCAGATGCTTCGACTATGTCTGGGGATTTGATTTGTATACAATTGGTGGATGGTGGCTAGCAGTGGAATCCAGCTAGGATGCGCATTTCGTCCTATTTGGGACTCGTCATCTTTTTCTGACATGGCTTAAAAATACGTCCTAGGTGTAACGAGGAGTACCAGTTGCTAAGTTAGACTAGTTTCTGAACATGTATTCACCGACATGACTACAGATAGACTGTTTTTGTGAATCATTTATCTCTCTCATCAATCCTGCACGCAGTCTTCCAAAACAGCCCTCGGTTGAATTGTTATGGTTTCCAGCAAGAGAATAGACGCGACTACTTACCAGGAAAATGTGGATAATAAAACAAATTAAAATAAATGAGACATCAACTATAAATCTATCCCTAATCGCAGCCCTAACCTTAACCGTGACCCTAAACTTGAACTTAACATTGATCCTAACTTTAGTCCTAAAGCTAATTACAACCCTTATTGTAACCGGAAGTCTTAACTGATCCTAATTCTGACCCTAACCCCATTACTTGCCTTAACCCTTATCCTAATCCTAAAGAGCTATTAAAACACATTGTCTAAATAGTACTTAAAAACGTGACCTAAGTGAAATTTGCTGCTTAGCTGGTGAATGTAGCCTTGATATTTCAGCTATGATAATGACAGGTGCCATTAGTGAACGGATAGCATTCGTTCAAGGTCAACTGGAGCGTTCACACACTTAGGACGCCATTGTTGAACTTCACCGATTTCTGGTTGAAGTGAAACTTGAGACAGTCATTCAAAACTATTGCGACTCAAAATGAAACTGTCTAATATAAACGAATGTGATAACCTTGGGCAACCGATTAGATAAATCCGTAGAATCCATCCATCCATCCATCGATTTGTAGATGTCATACATAAATTATGTTGCTAATTCCAGTCAGGATAACAGACTTATACGAAGATTTTAGATGTGGAGGAGTAGTGACTTTACAGAGATGTGCAGCACTTGTTGATGGATATGTTTACAGATGTTCACCTTGTCGTTACAGAAGATCTCTCGGGAAGATATATTGTTCCTTTGACAGGTTCATGGGTGATGTACAGCTGTGAATGGATCACGAAACAGCATAATATGCAGTTATCAAGATGAATTTATGCACAGAAGTAGACGTGGACTATTCCGCAAGTCTCCGATAAAGAATTAATAGGTTTTTTGAGACATATACGAGAAAGTTACCCTGTATAATTATTTCCCAACACTAACTTTAATATATGTACGAGAGTTTTTCTGCTTAAATTACTTGGTTTTACTGTGGGATCATCTGATTAGTCGATCAAGGTCATTAGTTCTGTTCACTTGGGTCTTTTAGTAGGCCAGCTAATGCTTAGAGTTATACTTAATACACCTAACTGGCGCCAATGCATCAATAAACTCGGAACGATGAGTCAGAGCGAGACAATAAAACCAGGTGAAAAGCACACTATATTCATGAAGAAAAATAACAAATGAAATGTAATGATACAACACAAGATATATGGTTCAATCCACTCTTGAATCAAATAATTATCTCTCAAAGCCTTCATAAAAAGATATTTAAAATGTGAAGATAAGGATAGATGGAAACCTGTTGCTAAGAATTAGGTTAGTATAGTGGTGATTCTTTACCGCAAAGAAAAATCGGATTAGATAAAGCGAATCCTTGCCGATCATGACAACATAAGAGTGTGCTTACGTGCAACTAACACCTTACTCTCATCGCTGGTGAAGGTTACGAATGATAAAATAGAAGAAGACAACCAACAGAATTGTGTGTGTGTACCAGATCAATTGTGGGGACTGTGATGCCGTAGAAGAAACTTTCAGACATAAGATAAGAGTGAAAGAGTATAAACAGTGTGTAAAGGTGGTTCCAAAGACCTTTGCAGACTTAAAGAAGCTAGAAAACAGATCAGCGATTGTACTGCATTCAATCGGAACGAGGCAAAAAATCGACTTTGATAGGACTAAGGTTCTACAGAAAGGTTTTGGCTCGCATAAAGAAAGACTGGCTGCAGAAGCCCTACATATATACGGGTGAATCTCGACATTCTGAACAGACGTGAAGGTGTGGTGTAAGCTGATGCATGGCAAATCGAATGTAATCTGATGAAAAGTACACTCTGTTTAAAGTGTTTAAAAAAGCAGACTAATTTTTGAAAGTCTGAGGTCAAATTTTGATCACAGCTCATACAATTTTGTTTATTATACGCGTTGATGCCTGTTACATGACTCATTGGATTGGAAAAAGTTTTTTGAAAGCAAGAAAGCAAGTTAGGTTTCTCATACATTAAGTCAAGGAACAATTATGGTTAATTGATCGAATCAGCCTTATAGTTAAAACCAATAGCAGTTCGATATTGAGCCATCTGGTGCAAACCGGCCACAAAGTCAACCAGCATTGAAGAATCTCTATTATCTATCGGGTACCGAATAAATTGCCGAAAAAAAACGAAGCGCTGCATGCTGCAAACAGCAGAGGCTATCACAATTCGCGTGAAACAACCAGTGTTCTGTGTTCAAAAGAAGCAAGTCCAGCCAGCCCCTACTCCTGCCCTGGCCGGCCTTCAGTAGAAGCTATACACCCATGAATTTGTAATATTATCCTTCCGAATTCTTCTGACATTCATCTTATTTTATGTTGATGCTATTAAGCTGTAATCTATCAATATTATCGATCCGATGTTATTTAAACAGCAACATTAATTATGTTCATAACACTAATTCATTCATTCATTCACTATAATATGTGATGATGAAGTTATCGAAATGAGTACTCTTTGTTGAGTAACCAGGAAATTCAAAAAATTATTACTCACAGCATTCAAAATAATCCAAATTCTTCTGGTAAACAGGAATCATACCATCAAAGCATTGACAGATGTTAACGGTTTTATTTCTCATCAACTGTAATCTGTTGTCAACCGACTGTTGAACTGTTGTAGTTTGCACACAAATAGCATTTTGACTTAAACATCTACGTCCTTGGACATTACATTCTTCACCGATATCAGCTAGGCAAGATATCAAGTGACAATTAATAATGAGTGATGTTCACTTTATAAAATTATCAAGGTTAAATATTGATTTGATACAAAAATTAAAAAGTCATCATAGATCAGCAAATAAACACTCTTATAATAACTCCACTTTAAAGTTATTCAATTATAGAGTGTTTTAAAAAGACATGAAAATACCGGTAAACATCATTCAAATCAAGCATAAAATGCTTTGGAATAGGTCTATCCTCTGACCTTTCTTGGTCATCTGATATCTTGTCGATTTCTAAGAACACTTACAAAGCTCATTTACTTGTCATTATGGAAAGACAGTAAAATTATTCTGGTGTCTAAATCAGGCAATGGTACTATTGTTAAATTTAGCCCTATTGTAAGTATTTCTCCTTTTTCTGAAATCTGTGCTCAATCGTTGAAAAATTTTCCAAAGCCTGAACAGTTCGAATATAAACATCATAATATTGTTTCCAGCTTAGAGAAAGAAGCTAAATATGTTCAATATACCTACCTTGACTACATATTCACTTTTGTCTCTGTACCAAGATGTCTTTTGCTAAATCAGCAAGCTTTCTTTGACAGAAACTGAGTCCTAGGCTGTTAACTGGTTGCATTCTTATTCCTTGAACAGAATGTAGTATACTGTATATAAAGGCGAATCTTCTTCTGTCTTGCATGCTGGAGCAGGTGTCCCTCAAGGTGCTGTTCTCTCTCTCTCTCTCTCTGTTATCGTCGTTTCTTCCTTCTTACATGATTTGCATATTCCGAAACGAATTAACTTTATTAAATACAGTGATGATCTGACCACTGATATAAGTATAAACCTAAGGCGCTGTGGTAGAGTATAACTCCATTATGGATAAGATTTTATTTTGATAAATCACACAGTGTTGTACAATTATATTAACTGATGGCCACGTTTCGAGCACAAACTATTGCCACTCATAATCATATCAAGTTACTCATACAACTTTTTTCTTTCATTTATATACATGTGTGGAATCGATTAGATATTGGATTTAAAATCAGTGTGAGATAATGTACATTCAGAAATAATAGTACGAGTGTTGTTGATCAATTGCAGTTAGATGGGAAAAAGGACGAGTGTTTTTTACAGTCATAATAAGCTACTTGTTAGAATGTTGTGTTTGAATGTGTTTGAATTGAAATAGAATTTTAAGATTATTTATTATCCTCTTCTGATTTGACCTGTGGTAGTAATATCTTCCATATTTCTGGTATTTGCATTGAGTCATCTCTGCTGCATGTGTTGTGTTGGGTGTAGACTCGATGAACAAGCATTCAGTAATCAACCTCTCTCTCCACCTACCTATATTACTTTTTAGAATTTTAACTCTATCCCACCCTATTGTGTGGTTGTTTGTTAATGCGTGAAGTGCAAAAGCTGAGCTTTTTTCTAAATTACTTATCTTCTCAGGGTCAACCATTCTTACCTTAGCTAAATTCTTATGTTCTGATAATCTGACTATCCCTGACCTACTAGTTTGACCTATGTAGTTGACCTCACTTACAGTCATTGCAGGGTATTTTGTAAATTATATTATTTTGTTTAATTGGATCCAACGGGTCTTTTAGCCTACAGAGCTTGTCTCTGAGTGAGTTTGTAGGTTTGAATGCCACCCTAATTCCTGCTTTATTAAGAATCCTACGTAGGCCACAGATGTCCCCTCTCTCCTTATATGGTATAACAGTAGATGACTTATATTCTCTCTTATTTATGTTATCATTACTAGTTCCACAATTATTTTTATTTTGTTTTTGGCCTTTACTGATCTTCCTAATGAATTTTATAGGATAGTTATTCAACACCAACGCTTCTTCTATCTGTTTTAATTCATCATTTAGATCTTTTTTTGTGCTACTTAGTGCTATGGCTCGGTTTGTTAGACACTTCACTAAGCCTGCCTTAACAGTTAACGGATGAGACGAATTAAAGTCTACATATATCTTGGAATGCGTTGGTTTTGTATAAACACTAGTGTGTAGTTTGCCTTCTTCTATTCGTTTTATCTTACAATCTAACATCACAGCTAATTCTACTTGTTCATTTTCTGATTCAAATGTGAATTTTATTCCCTTCACTGGTGAGTTTATATGTGTCAAGAAGATAGAGATGTGTTCTGATTTTAACACTGTGAAAGTGTCATCCACATATCTCCACCATATTTTTAGAGTAGGAGTAAACGTACTAAGAGTATTACTTTCCCAGCTGTCCATAAAATATGTCTGCTACGATAGGGGATATTGGTGATCCCATTGCTACACCTTCAGTTTGTCTATATATTTTGCCTTGGAACTTAAAGATAGTAGATGTGAGGCATAACTGAATCAAATAATTTCTTCAATGGGCAGCTTTGTCCTATGATTAAGTTCAGGATCCGCAGTTAGTTCTTTTTTAACTGCTTCTAAGGCCATAATGACTGGTATATTAGTGTAAAGACTAGTTATATCAAAACTAACCATTTTTCATCATTCTCTAGTTGAATGTCATTTAGTTTACTTTTCATCTCATATGAATTAGTTAGTTAATCTAGAGTCTGAACGGTTTCTAATGGGACAAAGTATTAGAGCTAAGTGTTTTGATAATTCATAAGTAGGGGTATTTCTAAAATCTACTATTGGTCTTATGGGGTAGCCTGGCTTATGTATTTTAATAGTACCATATATTCTACTAGCATTATTAGTTTTAGGCATTAAATTAAACCATTTAGACTCACCCAGTGATGGCTTCATTCTGCGTATTAGTTCCGCTGTAGATTTCTTAACCTTATTCATTATTGTATCTATAGGCTTATCAATTTCTTCATATGGATCGGTTTGAATATGTTCAGTAACTTTTTGATATAGTCAGATTTATTCAGAACTACGGTGGCGTTTCCTTTGTCAGCTTTTGCGATGACAATATTTTTATCCTGTTTTAGACTAATTAAAGCTTCCCTTTCCGATTTTGTTAAGTTTGATTTTGCCTTCTTTTGATTTTTTAGGGTTAATGCATATTGTGCTCGAACCTCTTCTGCTGTAGTCGTATCTATTGAGTTTAGTGCTGCTTCTATGTTAGGTATGACATCCTCTGGTTTTAATCTCGTTGCGAGTTACGTCCCGATGTGACTGTTTCAACCATAATTCAGAGTTTCAAGCTAAGTGGTTATAGGTTAAACCCCTCCAAATATTAGAGGGTTAACTTCATTTTTAGGCATAAATGTGATCTGTACGAAATGGTTCATTCACATGATGCTTGTAGAACAAAGGGCATTGAAACATTGGAATAGTTCTATCCTATGACTTTTCTTGGTTATCCCACATCTTGTCAGCTTCTAAGAGTATGCTTCGTTTAACCTTCTACATTAAGAAGTTAAGACAATTAGAAGTCATTCAACCTTTAATTTTGCAATTTGTTAACCCTTGAATCTTACCTTTTGTTGTTTATTCTTTTTCTGTAGTCTTTCTTGAAATGTTCAGAAAAGACTGTGTCATACTGAGAAGGGTATTGAAGGTTGTTCAGGTGGAGCAAGTGGTGCACCATGAAGTCAACTCAATACTACTGTAGCTGACAGATACGTGAACTTATGCGAGAAACGGGGCTCACAGAGCCATTTCTATACTCACTTTTCTCTCCCTGCATCTCATCAAATAGGACTAGAGGTCAGTATAAAAGATTATATGCCCGTTGACACAATCAAGTATAAAAACTCAACGATACCCTATTTAAGCCTGAGTTCCATATGAAAAAGACAGTGTTAAGTGTAAAACATTCAAATTACAATATGATTAGCAAAATAAACGGCTAGTTTATCTTCTTTTATTTGTAATTTATGGTAACACTATTTCAATTCATATGTAATTTTGGTTAGTATACAATTGGTGGATGGTGGCTAGCAGTGGAATCCAGGATGCGCATTTCGTCCTATTTGGGACTCGTCAGCTGGATGTACCTGCATTTCTCAGTGAATGAGTGATGATGTTCCCACTGAGGCCCGAACCCATTTCCCATAGTTTCAAAGCGTTATCCACTAGACCACATGGCTCTCGTGGCCCAAGTGGTCTAGTGGATAACGCTTTTGCTGGCGTTTTAAACTATAGGCACTGGGTTCGAGCCTCGGTGGGAACATTATCACTCACTGGGAAATGCAGGGACATCCAGTTGACGAGTCCCAAATAGGACGAAATGCGCATGCTGGATTCCACTGCTAGCCACCATCCACCAATTGTATACTAATTAAATGCCCAGACATCGTCGAAGCATCTGCACAAGAAGCCGACATGTCAACCTGAGACTGAGCACTTCGGTCCAATCAATCGACGGGAAAATCAAAAATTCAATTCAATAATGTAACTTTGGTTATTAACATTATTATTATCATTTAATTTGTGGATGGTGACTAGCAGTAGAATCCAGGATATGCATTTCGTCCTATTCGAGACTCGTCAACTGGACTTACCTGCATTCCCCAGTGACTGATGATGTTCCCACCGAGGCTCGAACCTAGCGTCAATAGTTTCAAGACGCCAAAGCGTTATTCACTAGACCGTTTGGGCCACAAAACTTGGCCACCTCCTGTGCAACGGATTATATTAATTATTTAATTGCATTTTAGATTTTCCCGTCGATTGATTGGACCGAAGTGCATCCTGGATTCCACTCCTAGTCACCATCCACAAATCGAATTCTAATTAAATGCCCAGCCATCGTCTAAGCATCTGAATAAGAAGCCGACATGTCCACCTAAGATTGGACACTTCGGTCCAATCAATCGACGGGGAAATCTAAAATTTCAATTAAATTATTATTATCACTTTAGACATTTTTTAAAAATTTTTTTGACCTCATTGTTACTTTTAGAGTCAAAAATGCTGCTATTATCAATTTTGGCTAATTATATTTTGTGATAACCTCGTCTTGTTAACTAGCTTGCTAGTTTTCTAGCCGGTTCAAAGCTCAGGTAAAGAGGGAGGGTTTGGTTGTCGGTCTAGCGACAGTG